TGTCGATCATTCGATTTCATCCTGGACACTACAGAAAATGGGCTTAAAGTGTAAAAAACCGAACTTCTCCTTTAAGTTCCTGTTTGTTCCCTGTGGCAGTCTTTTATATGCCTCATCCTCACTATCTCATGGTGTTCCTAGTTCAGACTGTGTCTATTAAACTGACCTTTCTTTTGTGAGGAGGTGTCCTGCATCTTATCTAGATCCTGTTCCTCACCAATCCACACCAAGCTCATTGGAGCAGCTAGTCTTCAAATTTAAATGGCATTTCTCACTCAGAGATTGGATTGGATAGATTGGATGTTTTTAAAGAATAATTACACACTGGAAATGACATGGGACTGATTTGGTCCTCACATCTATCCTGTAATCAGTGATATAATGTCAGAGGAAATCCAGGTTTTTGTCTCTCAGACTTTCCTTCGCTTTTCTTGGAAAAGCAGCAGAGCAGCAGGTTGCTTTTTCCACCTTTTATTTTCGTGCATCAAAATGATCTCCAGATTTAAGGAGTATTTCAGTTTTGCTGCATTTATCCCAAAGAGCTAAAAACAGAACCAGTTCAGCAAACACAATAGGTTGTTGCATTGAACACATGGTACATTAACAGCAGCATAAAATACAGAGATGTAGTTGGATTAAATGATCCCAGAAAGACTTTGAAAAGCTTGAATCTCCAAATCCAACTAAAGACATGGAAATGGTTAATCAGAGATGATATAAGGAAGCTCTAATTGGAGATGTTCAGTCTTACCTGCTGCACAGCTGCTCTGATTGGCTGTCAGCGGTCCTGCTCCGGTTCTTTCTCCACACTGGGGTTCACTCCTCTTCCTCTGTCTGTGGAGACATTTCTTCATCACTGAAATTGTTTACTACCAAGAGGGTAAGGCTTTCCTCCTGAAGCTGAAGATGTTCATGAAGGTCCACTATAGACAGAGGACCAGGTCAGGTCACCGGGTCAGGACCGTCTCCTTGCTGTCTGACTAGTTTCTGTCTATTATTGATCAACTGGGATTAATTGCCAGAACAGGAACCAAACTCAGGACAATTGGATCAGGGACTATATCCTTGACACATGGAGCATCTATTCCATCACAGAACCACTCAGAACCCCAATAGAACCTGAACTGGATCAGAGGCAGGGTGATGCTAAGGTTTATTTGATGGTAGGAGGAAAGAGAAACCACAGACCTGCAGATGAACAATTGCTGGGAGAGTTCTGGTTTCTAAGCAACATGAAGCTCTGAATGGACCCAACCTGCAGCTCCACAGGTAGGACTGTGTGGACAAAGACAGGGAGGGCTGCTTCTACTTACCAGTTCCACCTGCTGGAATGAACCAGAAGAATCCTGCTGACTCATGACACATGCACATTTAGATTCAGATCTGAACAACTTATGGGATTTATCAGACTGAGAGGAGAGAAAATGACTTTGGACCTGTCAGTAAGCTGTTGGATGCTGATGGGAAACCAACAGAACCAAGTCTAAACCATTGGAGATCAACCAGTTCAGATTTTAAAAGTTCTATCTCAGCAGAGTCACATCCATTACTTAGAAACCGGTTCCAGCAAAACTGAGCGCCAATGCTTAGTTCCTGCATTGGAGAAGGAGGACAGAATGAGCAGCTGAGATCTCCCGAGAGCTGTGCGTAAGTAAAATGGCGACATACATGTAGATCAAAATAAATCCACTCAGGTAAGTAAAAGCCAATAATTGTAAATTAAACAAACCCAAGTTTAAACTTTAACAATTCTCTCTTATTTTTCGAGAGAACAAACTGGAAGACGAGACCTTGACGAGTCTGAAGAGCTACGTGGACGGCTGTTTTGACAACATCATTGGTAGAAGTCTTGCATAAGGAGTTTCAAGTTCTGAGAGAGTTGCTGGAATACAGCCAAGCACAGCTAGCCTCTGTTACCGCTGAGAAGGAATTACTGAAGGAAGAAGTCACGAAGCTCACAGAGTGGATGATCCAGCTGTCTGGCAAAAATAGAAAGATAAAAGAATCCATTCTGGACATTCAGCATGAGAGACAATCTCATCTTCACAGGAATCGCGGAGCAGCAGGAGGAGGATCCCAAGGTGACAATCTCTGAGTTCCTCCAGAAGAATCTATAAATCCCGGCAGACAAAAAACATCACCTTCCATCGCGTTCACCGGCTCGGAGGTATGAAGCCTGATAAATCTCTTCCTAGACCAATCCTGGCTAAGTTTGAGCATTACAAACAAAAAGAGCAGGTCAGGAGTCAGGGCAGATAACTGAGAGGAACAGATTTCAGCGTTAATGACCAGCTTCCAAAGGAAATATTAGATCATAGACAAGTCTTATTCCCAATCAGAAAGAAGGCATCAGAGCTACAGTAGCAGTTGACAAACTTTATATTAATTGTCAGTTGATCAGGGATCAGAAGATCACTACTTGGCTTTATGAGATGCACAACAGGTGGATTTAAAGCATGTGACACAAGGTTTCTTGTGCTTTTTTTTTAACAAAAAAACATTAGAAAAATAAAGCTTAACGTTGGTGTGATTCAAGTAGAAGCAGGATTGGAATATTTCCGGAAGGCAGGCTGCTCGGTTCGAAGAAAGTTCGGGAAGGAATGTTTATAGAACAGAACACAGTGATAAATGAAATATATGCAGAGCTCAAAAACACGTTGGCACGGTATGGTGGTTAGTCACAGATGGGTACAGGAAGCATGGGCAGGGGTTATTTTTCTTTCACCTTTTCTTACTCATTGCACTTTCCTAATTCTCTAACTCCCTTTATCTTATTCGTCTCCTTCTTCCCTGTGTTCCAGACAATCGCAAGCATGTTATGCTACCTGGGTCTAGGTATAACTATTTATTCAGAGGCATTTACTTTTCAGCTTCTCACTCACACCTATGGTGAAGGTAAGGTTTGTGACATGGAATGTGCATGGAGCTAACATCAGAGAGAATCAGTTTCAGAGTTTTAACCAGCTTAAAATTTTAAATACAGATGTTGTCTTACTGCAAGAAACCCATAAATCAGTGACAACTGAGTTCCCTGATGTGTTTGCAGCCTGCCATAACTCTAGACAGAGGAGTTGCAATTTTAATCCACAAAAAACTCAGTTTTACAATATTAGACAAAATTATTGATCCCGAAGGCAGATTTATCACAAAATATCTATTCATAACCATAATCTATGTATTGTCAGCATATATGGTCCAAATGTTGACGACCCCTCATTCATCCACAAACTTTTCCTTGCACAGTCAAAGAACAGTGAATGCTCTCTAATTATTGGGGGTGACCTCGACTTTGGTCTAAATGGAGAAATAGACAGGTTGAATACAACAGGGACTCAGCGCAGTTGCCAATCATTAAATGTAGTCAAACAATACATGAGTGATTTTGGTCTTTGCGATGTATGGTGATCTCTTCATCCTAACAGTAAGGAATACACTTACTGTTAGGATGAAGTGGCGTTGGATGGGGGAGTTTGCCCTGAAATCGAAGGGTTGACGGTTCAAGCCCCCACTCCGACTTTCAGTGTCGTTGTGTCCTTGGGCAAGACACTTCACCTGCATTGTCTACTGATGGCGGTCAGAGGGCCCGGTGGCGCCAGTGTACGGCAGCCCCGCTTCTGTCAGTAAGCCCCAGGGCAGCTGTGGCTACACTGTAGCTTGCCAATAAAGGCGCTATATAAGTACATGCCATTTACCATTCTAATGTCCATCATTCCTACTCTCGTTTGGACTATTTCCTAATCAGCAGCTCGCTGATGTCTCAGATGCTGTAATCCATCCTATTGCTGTCAGTGATCAGGCTCCTGTTACTTTAACCCTAATAAATAAAAAAATAGCCACACAAAACAAGTACTGAAGATTTAATACATCACTGATTAAAGATAAAGAATTTCTCAAAATTTTCAAGGAAGAATGGGCATCATACTTGGTGCGCAATGATTTACCAGCAGCATCAGCATATATACTATGGGAAGCAGGGAAAGCAGTAATGAGAGGTAAATTTTCTTAATTCTCATGTCATATAAAAATATTAGAACAAAATAAGACTTAGGAATTAGAGGAAAAATTTAAGTTACCAGAAAGCTCATAAAGATGAGGAAAAATTACCTAAAATCCGTAGAATAAAACTAGAATTAAACAAATATATTGAAAAACAAAATACATTTTTAATGAAAGACTTAGAGCAGAAAGCTTTGAACATAGCAATAAGTCAGGAAGTTTCTTAGCTAGTCAGCTAAAAATAAACACAGAAAAAACATCTTTATTTGCAGTTACAGACTAAATTGGTAATACATTACAGGATCCGGAGGGTATTATCAATGCCTTCTGAGATTTCTATAAATCTTTATGCTGTGTTCAAGCCGAATGCAGTAGGAGCCACAGGAGCAGCTAGTTTACAAGCAAAGTCAATGGTTGACACGCGTCAAGGCGCAGCAAAATGTTCCACGGCGCATTTTGAGCAGCAGGCGCAGCACATCTGAGCAGCTGAAGCTTAAGCGCCTAAGCATCTGATGCGTGCAACGCGCCGCAAACGCACTGCTGCTCGAGATGGAAAAATTTTACTTTTGCTGCGCGACGTGCCACATCAACCAATCAGAGACGCTGATCTGGGAGCTGGAAGGGAGAGAGACACAGCGCTGATGATACAGAGTGCAATGATCACTCCTCTCAAACAGTTTATTAATACCTAAATTAACTTAAAATGAAGAAACCTGCTGACAAAACATGTTTGCTTTTATTATCTTGGTTTGGATTATGTACATGAAAACCGCTTCCAGCCTCTGCGGCGAACTGTGAGGAGGCGACCGGGCCATAGGCTGCTGTTGAATGGGATTCCTACTGACAGCGCACCGCCAGTATATGGGGGTCTGAGTGGCTCCGACAAAAGTAATATTGGAAGGCAGGATGGTAATCTGACTGCACTGATTAAGTTTTCAGGTTGATTTTCTCACTTGAAAACATATTAAAACTACTTTATTCCCACTGATCACAGCAAATATAGCTGCAAGGCAGAGAAAGGATGGAGTAGCTCCGCCCAACGCGCGTCAGGCCCACTTTTTCCACAGCGCAGCAGGAGCAGCAAAGTTGCTTCAGCCGTGCATCAGAACTAAACTGGTACAAGCAGCAAAAAGGAAGCAGCAGAAGCATTTTTTGCTGCTCCTTCTCCTTTACACACATCACAGTTAAATCCATCAGATAATGACATCAAGCAATTTCTGGAAAAATAAAAACTCTTCCTACATTATCAGAGAGAGGGTTTGTGAAAACTGCTAAATGGGACAATCGGTCTGCGCCACGTGACGTCAATTGTTTACCTCGGGCGCGGTGCATCGTGGGAAAACCACCATATTAGGTGGAAAGTTGAGATAACCCACACGCGGCTGTTCTTTCGGCACAATTATTTACCAGAAATGACACGATCGTGTTGTGTGAGAGGCTGCCAGTCCCGGTGTTGTGCCTAGGTAGTTATCCCTGCGAAAATTTTTATCCCCTCGTCGGGAGCGCGCACGGAGTAGGAAGAACAACCCCAGCTAACTCCGCTTCAATTCCAACGTGCAGAACTTGAAATTTAAAAGGTTTTACGTGTGTGAAAATTGAGCTTTACTGTTTTATTCTTTACTTCACATGTTATAGCAGAATATCGCCAGTGATATTGATCTAAAACTAATAATAAAACACAAACGTTTGCTTGAAAGCTGGTCGCTGACAGCAGTGTCTACTCCTTCATCTGAAAGGAAACAGATCCTTGTTCTTTTCCACACGTTCCTTAAAAAAACCTCTCATTGTTTCACAGTGTCCAAATGTTCTCATTCCATTGAAAACTGTTGTAAACCATATACTTGTAATAAAAATGAAATAGAAAATGGAGTGCACATGTAATCATTAAACACTATATGCAGAAGGAAAATAATTATTTCCTGCTTGAAATTTAGTACTTAAATCTATATCTGGGATGAAATAAAACCTGCTGTAATCTGTTCCCCCTGTCTAAATCAGACAAAAAAGGCCCCAGCTTTTTCATTTTTGGCTTATAAGTATCTTTTATGATGACAACTAACCCCTGAAGACAGGGGGAACAGATTACAGTAGGTTTTATTTCATCCCATATTGCCAGTTCTGGCAATATGGGATGAAATAAAACGGCTGATGTTAGAACACAAACTGTTTATTAAGGACAGTACAACATAGATAAATTGTAAGTTACTATAAACACAAATATAGATTTAAGTACTAAATTTCAACCAGGAAAAAATTATTTTCCTTCTGCATATAGTTTTTAATGATTACACGTGCACTCCATTTTCTATTTCATTTTTATTACAAGTATATGGTTTACGACAGTTTTCAATGGGATGAGAACATTTGGACACTGTGAAACAATGAGAGATTTTTTTTAATGAACGTGAGGAAAAGAACAAGGATCTGTTTGCTTTCAGAGGGAGGAGTAGACACTGCTGTTTGTCATACTCTTAGCTGTAATGTTGAATGATGTGAAAAAGCGAGTCAAGACAAAATACAATTATTCTCTAAGTTGTTCTTTCTTTCACATAGTAGGCTTTGCAATATAAATGAGTCTGTTGGTGAATGGATGATATAAATAGGCTCTGCCTTGCCTTGTTGGAAAAATGTTATGACTTGTTCTCAGCTCAGGAACTAGGACCTGTATGATATCTGGTTGTTTAATAGGTTTGCCTAAATAAAAGATTTAGATATGACTTATCAACATATTCCTGCAAAAAGCTCTGATGTTGCAGGGGAAGGTAATGAAAAGTGTTTGGAGCATGCTCTTGTTCTGATGCCAGTTTGTTTCAGCCTTTATCCAGTCTCATGTAGAAGGGCTAGGCATATCACAGGTTATTTGCATTACAACAAGGACACTTAGCAATGTAGAGTGAACACACAAACTTGAAGAGGGAGAGGGGCTTGCAGGAAAACGGAAATTCTCCTTTGAGTGTTTAATAACTACTGACTAACTACTTATACTTCAGCAATAGTATTGTATAATATATCTATTGGCATCAAGACAATTATTCTTATTGACACATTGCCAGACAGGACAGTGTAAAAAAAATAAGACAAAAAAAAAAAAAAAAGAAAGAAACCGGATCCTTACTCTGAATCTGAGGGTCCAGGTTCTGCACTGAAGTCTGGAGGGTTTTCTTTGGACAGGTCACTCCTCATTGATGGACAGCTGGATCCTGCAGGTTCTGCTCTGTCCTCCTTTAGATCCCAATCTTCCATCTTCTGGACTTCACTCAGTCTGAGAGAGAAACCAGAACCAGTCAGTTCCCAGTGGTTCAGGTACAGTTAATAAAAAGCAGAAAGCTAATTCCCATCATGTGTGTGGAGGAACCTGATTCCAGTAGGAACCATCTGGCTCCGAATATATTCAAATCCAGTCCTATCATATGCCCTAATAGTGTGACCTTAGAATGAGTCGGCATTATTATGTCCCTCTCTGCTGAAATATCAGTAGCTTGAATTTGTCTCTATCATAAACCCTCATCTAAAAATGATTTTATGACTAGGTAAAAGAACTCCAGAAAATATTCAATCAGAAAAATAAATTATTCTAGTTAGAGATTTTAACATCAATTGGGATGAAAAAAAGAACAGAAAGAATTTAATTTTAATAACTGATCAGTTTATTCTAAACTAATTGTTGGGATCTGGAGATCTGCCACCTTTCTCCAGCAGAGAGCGCCCTGGGTCTCCTGAGCTGAAGCCACCTGCACACCTGAGGCTGATTCATCTCATCAGGAGACCAGCTACTTAAGCAGCGGCTTGACTTCCCTTCAGCGCCGGAGTGTTGACCAGTTTTGGTTAGCAGAACATGAGGCTCAGCCTGAACCTAGAATCTCTGTCTGCTCTGGAGAGTAACTCTGATTCTAACCTGTCTCTGTCTTCTCTGCCTCATAGGAAACCTGATCGAAGTCTGTAGCTCTGGAGGAGCTCATGTTTGGAAACCTGCCTGCCTGTCCTAAGAAGCCAAACCTGAAGATCCTAAATCTCCCCACTTGTTCTTAGGAGAGAACTAGGAGAACCACTCAAGGTCTGAACCTCGTTAGCCTGAAGCTAGGCTCTGCCGCTGCTAAGCTCTCTGCTGAATCCACAGTCTCTGGACCCAACCGGTTCCCTCTCTCCACCGATCAGTCTGAACCTCATCAGGTACAACTCAGAAACAAACTCTGCCAAGACATCTTTGCTACCTGGCTAACCAAACAATCCCTCTCTGCAGAGAACTCTGTGAATCCAGCCCCGGGCCTGAACCAGAACCTGACCAAACTATTTACTCTGTGTGTTCTAATCCAAAATAAACTGTTGAACTTTTACTCAGTCTCCTGTGGTGTTCTGCACGTGGGTTTAATCACAGAGATGACACCAATTAATTGAGAATCCAACTAGAACCATAGACCCTCAGCATATGAAAGTGATTTGAAACAATTTTTTCTAATAAGCCTGAAAGAATTACAAAAACACATAATTTACTGACTGCTCTATCTGACGGCAATATAATTTTCCGCACTATATAATTAACAAACTGAAGAATCGGAAATTATCCTCCCAATCAAAAGTGAAAATACCAGAAGCAAAAGAAATCCCAAAACATAACAACAGAATATGGAAAAGACTTTAAATTATCTAAACAGGGAAACCTTATTGTCATGTGATGAATTAGAAAAATAGTCTGAGTTCTTCAATGATGGAATTCAAAAAAACATTTCTGTCATAGCTAAAGGATTTTTTTTTATTTGAGTTATGCTAAATGCTAATGGAACCTCAAAAAAAATCTTTCAGAATATCAATAAACTTCTGGTCAGACTAATAGGGAAAGAATTGAACATTGACAATAAGTTTGTTCTCTTTTTGCTCTCTGTTTGCTCCTGTCAGCCGCCGTAGCATCAGGCAGGGACTGAAAGAAAGTACTGACTACTGGGAAAGAGTAAACTAGAAGATCCTGGAATGGAAGCTGACTGAAATAGGTTGAACAATATTATTGAAGCAAACTCTAAGTCCAACAGATGGAGACATAATCAGGAGGATTTATCAGAGAGTAGAACGTTATTCAGGACAGATGCCCTCACATCTGTGTGCTGCAATTTTTGTTTAAGCTCTGCACTGGAGGCAGCATGATGCTGTAGCTTCCCTCTCTCTCAATAAATATAGAATAAAACCTGTAATAAATAAATATAGAATAAAAAACTTCTACCTGAAATAAATATATAAAATAAAAAGCTTGAACATGAAATCAAGAAATACAGTATAAAAAACTTCAACGTTGAGTAAATATATTGAATAAAAAAAACTTCAATCCTCTCATCAGAAGACCTCTCCTTTATAAGCTCCTGCCTGACTTTGCTTCCACGCCGCAGTGTTGATCTTAGTTGGTTAGCTTCCAGAGTCTCTGTTTTTGTTTGAATCTTGGTTGTCTCTAGTATGAGATTCAGATTCTAATCTCTCCTTCGTCTGTGCCTCACAGGAAACCTGTCTCTGGTCTGAAGCTCAGGAAGAGCTGCCCCTCTGGAACCCTGTCTCTGGTCTGAAGCTATGGAGGAGCTTCATCTCAGGAAACCAGTCTCAAGCCAGAAGTTCTAGGAGAGCTTAACCTGCTAAACTGCCCTGGTGAGCCAATCTGAAGAATCCTACGTGGATGTTACCAAAGACTTCTATGTGGAGTTTCCTTGGAGGTTCCTATGTGGAATCGGTTTCTAGAATCCTATGTGGATTTTCCCCATTGTTCCCTGCTAAGAGCTGGAGGCTCAGCCTGAAGAATCCTTCGTGTTTTCCCCTGTTGTTCTCTGCAGTGAGCTGGAAGCTCAAATCTAGGACTGCCATGCTAAGCCTGAAGCTAGATGCTTAGCCTCTCATGAACTCAGCTAACCGACAGTCTCCAGTCCCAGTACAATCTCCAGTGAACCTGCTCCCCAGTCTGAACCAGTTCCAGTATCAGTATTCATGTGCTTGTGTTTAAAATAAACTCTTTTGAACTTTTACCCAGTTCCCCGTGTGTGTTCTGCATTTTGGGCTTTACTCCTAGAATCCATAATGACAGAACACTGCGGCCAGACACAAAGCCCAGCAGATCACCTCCGTCGTTGGACTGAGAAACGGGACGCTCAGATTCATGAACACACACAAACCCTCCGTGAGTTACTGCTAAATCAAACATTCGCTAACCACTTCTATAATGCTAACGCCACGTCAGCGGCTCGTCCTGCCCCGAATCCACTTCCGTTTCCTAGGTCACCGGCAGTGACGTCACTACCAAGTCAAGATAATAATCCTCCTTTCTGGTCAGAACACAGCCCGTCGTTTTCGTCACCCGGTCCTTCTCTGCCTGAGAGATTTTCCGGCAATCCAAGTAAGCTCAAGGGATTTTTATTTCAGTGTCGGTCATTTTTTAGTTTTCATACTTCTTGTTTTCTTAATAATAAGGATAGGATAGCTTTTGTTGTTTCTTTTCTGTCTGGTGAAGCCCTTGAATGGGCGGAGACCAAATTTCTGCCTAAAACTAGAGAAAACTGTACATTTGAGACATTTATCCAGGAGTTTGAAAGAACCTTTAGTCAGGTCTCTAAGTTCTCCGTTTCTTCCAATCTTCTAAATACTAAACAGGGTAATAGGTCCGTTGCCGAGTTTTCTTCCGAGTTCCAGGGTAGAGCAGCCGTTTCCGGGTGGAACGAGTCCGCTTTTCTCTTAGCTTTAAATGAATCTGTTAGAAATTAGCTTTCATTTTACGTCGAGCCAGCTAACCATGAGGACCTCATAGAACTAGCCATTGGGTTAGACACAGCATCACAAACCAGTTCCAGTTCCTCTCCGCGCCAGGTTAGCCTCTGTTCTCATGTTCTAGACCTTCATTTAGCTCCATCCGTTAAAGGACTCAAAATTGGCCCATCAATTTCACATCAAACAGTTAGAGTTCCCCTCCAGCCTGATCAGACACCTGCACCTGTCACCATTGTCACTAGACCTGTTTCCTCGCCGGATCCTGATCCTGAACCAGTTATTAACCCCGTGCCTGATTCTTTAGCCCCTGATCCTATTATCCATTCTGGAACTCTTATTTTTCAACCGCTTAATTTGTCGCCAGATTCTTTCAGTAAACCCGTTAGCCTAGCTCCAAAGACCCCTCGTCGTTAGAAGAGGCGTCGCCTTAAGTCAGCTCTGTGCTGTCCAGAGACCCCTGGGTCAGCTCTGTGCCGTCTAGAGACCCCTGAGTCAACTCTGTGCCGTCCAGAGACCCCTGAGCCTGCCCTGTGCCGTCCAGAGACCCCTGAGCTTAAAATTAAGAGGGCTTCAGAAATTAGAGTTGGTGATGACATGCCTCCAAGAGTCCCTCTGCAGAGGCCATTAACCGCCAAGAGCCCTCTACAGATGCCTCAAGCCACCTCAGAGACTGAACTTGAGCCTCCATGGGTGTTTTCTCCTGTTCCTGAGACGGAGCCACAGTCGGTGGTCCCTACAGTTCCAGAGGTGGAACCACAGTCGGTGGTCCCTCCAGTTCGAGAGGTGGAACCACAGTCGGTGGTTCCCCCAGTTCCAGAGGTGGAACCACAGTCGGTTGTGTCACCTGCTCCTGAGGCGGAACCACAGTCGGTGGTGTCTCCTGTCCCTGAGGTGAAGCCACAGTCGGTGGCCTCCCCAGTTCCTGAGGCGGATCCACAGTCGGTGGTTTCGCATGTTCCTGAGACAGAGCCACAGTCGGTGGCCTCCCCAGTTCCTGAGGCGGATCCACAGTCGGTGGTTTCGCATGTTCCTGAGACAGAGCCACAGTCGGTGGCCTCCCCAGTTCCTGAGGCGGATCCACAGTCGGTGGT